AGGTGTTGTTGTAAATATTTGACTGTGCTAATTTATACTTTAAACTTTATCATAAATATCTATGTATAGAAAAATGCACGTATATAGCCTTTGGTACTATCCAGAGTTTCAGCCATCCACTGGGGCTCATGGAACATATCCCCTAAGGATAATGGGGGATTTGGGTCAGCTCAGAGGAAGTTGTCATGGTAGAATCCCCTCACTTTCCCTGGATCCTCACCCTTCCTCTTCTGATGCCTAGTGATCTTAGAACACAGGGACTTCTTCCATCTACAAACATGAAGTGGGTCTTTGTACCTGAGCACACCTATCATCAGCTGAAGAAAACCTTGGGTGGGGAATTTAAGCAGTAACGTTTGGCCTAAGCACTCCTGGTCCTCTTCATTTCAGTTTGTCTTTGGCCTATAAGTTTGGGCTCTGAACCTGGCAGCATTTAACATGAGGCACCTTGCTTTAGGGGCCGTCTGCTCTCAATAGCAGCAGTCAGGTGCAGGATGAGCGCTACCTTTATCCAAGTAGGGCTGCCGTGGGTGAGGCGCCTACGAGAGCCAAGATCACTGCCTTCCTGGGGCCAGTTCCAGGAACATGATGAGAGGAGATCATCAGAATCGAGCTGCTGAGGAGGGAAGGGGAAAAGCTGAAAAGTTTAGGAGCTTTGTCAGTTGCGAGGCCAACAAATTATTTTGATCTGAGACACAGAAGGTGAGTTACCCATGCATTACCAGGTGAGATTCAGAATACCACTGCCATATTTCTGTTTGCTTATTTGTGTTGTTTTTTTCATCTCCTCCTAGACCTCACATCTTCTGTAAAATGCGATTAAGTCCAGCTCTTCCGCAAAATCAGGACAAAGCATCTTGTGTAAGATGAGATAAATAAAATGAATGACTTTTTTTTGTCTTTTTGATGCAAGGTTTTGCTGTGCCATTCAGGCCAGCCTTGAACTCACTTTGTAGCCCAGGCTGACCTCAAACTTGCAGCGATCCTCCTGTCTCAGCCTCCTGAGTGCTGGGATTACCGCATGCCTGGCAGTGATTTCTTTTGTAAAGCATTTTTAGCATAATAAAAAGTATACAACATGCAATTTGTTATTTTGGCCATTTTAGGTTTAGGTGATGGTAAGTGCATTCACTGTATAATAAACCCAGTACAGTGCTCATCTCCAGAACTGCTTCGGTTTCCCAAACTGCAACTCTGCACCTATTAAACATGAACTCTCTGTTTTCCCTCCTTGGTCCCTGGTGAGCCCCATCCTACTTTCTGCCTCTATGACTTGATGACTCTAGGGACCTCACGTGGGTGGGCTCACTCAGGACTTGTCCTCTGGGACTGGCTTGTATCACTCAGTATAATGTTCTCAAGGTTCATCCACCTTGTAGCCTGTGCCAGAACTTCCTTTCTTTTAAAGGCTGAGTCATAGTTTCTCAGACCTTCACACCACATATTGTTTATCTCTCCACAACAGGCACACAGGTGGCCTCTGCCTTTTGGAGACTATGAAGAATGTTGCTGCGAACATGGGTGTAGAAATGCCTGTTTGAAACCCTGATTTCTATGATTTCAGATATTGGAGTTTATGTTTTTATTCGGGGGGGAGCAATAGCTGCCCTGCATTCCACTGTGTTACATTCCCGTGTCATTATTTCTGGACATGTGTCTTGCCTCACTAGCTGGAGCAGAGAGCATTCACTTTTCAGTTTCTCAGTCCTCAGCATCTGTGACTGTGCTTGCCTCATAGCGGAAGCCTCTGTAGCAGACTAGGGACAGAGGATGTGATTTACACGGCATCGCCTTTCCATGCGGTGTCTCAATTCATGACACACAGAGAGTAGGCACTGTAAAGGTGTGGAAGGCACTCCAGATAGAATGCATGCATGCGGTTGCTGTTGATTTTTCCTTGGCCTGTGCCTGAGCACGGATGTTTTCAGAAGTTAAGCTACTAAGTGTCGAGCCCTGCCGCCTTTGCTCACCCAGGAGTTTCACTTTATTGCCACTTTACAGATAGGGTTTACTGTAAGATCGGATCACAGTTGTGATGAGGGTGATATAGAGGTGTATGCTCGACCCCCCTTCCCACTGGCTAGCTAGACTGCACACTTTAATCAGCAGCACAGGGGGGTATGCTGCGTCTGTGTGAGCTGCGTTGGTCTTTTTTGAAGACCGTGTGACTCCATCACCAGGGAGGAGCCATGTCCTCTGCAGGAAGTGGTCTCACCATCCAACACTGGTCAAAAGATCAGCTCAAAGTCAACTCTTTGACAACTCAAATGATTCCTTTGGCAAATGCTCTTTTGTTATTTCTCAACTGATTTATCTTGAAAACTCCGCCGGGTAGTTGAATTGCCTGCATTCGTACTGTACACAGACACTGAGATGGGCTTTTCAGAGCTGTGGTATACGTTGGCACCAGCTGCTTTTGATGCACACTATGGTTGTTATCTGCACTCAGTGTTCCAGGCTTCGCAAGGATGACTTTCTTCTTCTGTCCAGGCATTTGAAGACAATTGAAACTCTCCAAAAGAGAAACCACTTTCACTGCTAGCGCGTTGCCATCAGTGCAGTAGAGGCTGCTGGTCAGGCGCCATGACTATCAGAAGGATGTGGCCGCCTTGCTCTGTCTTGTGTCTGGTCATGGTGTGTGGCCATGGCCCTGCTCAGCACCAGGGGGTAACTGTACTTCGGTAGGACTGGATTTGGCCCAGACTGTTCGCTGGCCAATCCAGAGGGCACTTGCCGATTTTGCATCACTCTGCAGCTTCACATTTAAAAAAAATTGATGACTGATCCTGGAGAACTATTCATACTGTTACACATGTGAGAGCTTTGCATTTCTTTTAATTGATGCATGGTGTTCTAGCAGCCGTTTATCCAATGACAGGCATTCTAGTTTTGTACTTATTCTTACTAAGGTTCTGTGTGAACATTCTTGTGACATGCCCCTGTCTGGGTAGTAATCAGAGAAGCTTATGGAGTGGTAAGGTGTTTGCATTTTCGTTTTTACTAGTTTGCCTATTTGCACATCGAAGTGCCTGTGCCAGTTTGTACTCCTACTGGAGGGCAGAGGGGTGTCCCCTCCAGTATGGGACATTTCCAAGTTTTGGGCATTCTGGGGATGAAATGGTGTTTTGCATTTGTCTTCATTTTTGCGTTGCTGTGGACTCATTTCAGCATTTGAGAGACGTCTGAGAGGTTGATGATGGCTCTTTCTAGCTGACTCCAAAGGCCAAAGTGATTGTCCTGTGTGCTGCTGTGGTTCATACTCCATGGCTTTTAGTGGCAGGCCCTGGAGGTGGCTTTTTTTTTCCCTTAAGAAAGCTGGAATAAGAATCCATCTTCCCTTCTTTTGCTGTAAAAACTTTGCTGACCTAAACACACTCAAAGAGGGAGCTACAGAGACCCCAAGCATGGCCAGCAGCAGGATGGGGGCCCATGCTGCAGGCCACCCATAAAGCAGAGAGTGGCTTGCCCGGGGCAGTGACTGCAGTGCCTTCTGTGGTCAGCCTCTGCCGAGGGTCACAGTCCACCTCAGGGTGCACCAACCCGGCAAAAACTGGACAGTGTTCACCCTGCCTCTGGGTACTTTTTGATGATACAGAATCCTCTGATGAGATTTAGATTCTGAGGTCTTATACAAAGGGTTCAGTAGAAGACCGTCACCTTCTTGCTTTGAGGAAATAGGACAGAGAAGGGAAGGAAGACCTGAGACTGACTGCTCACTGCCAGGGTTCAGATCCAGAATGTCCCTCCAAGTCTCACATGTTCAGAGGTGGTGCTTTTGTAAGGTGATCGGATCACAGAGGCTCTGTTTATGGCAAAGTGTGCTGTTATGAGGTGGTGAGGAGTTGGCAGAGAGGGCTCAATGAGGGTGGGACATAAAAGGGTGCATCTCCCTCCGGGACCCCTCCGTTCTCTCTGCTTCCTGGCTGCTTCTTTCCACAGCCTTGTCTCTCTTGGAGCCCGTGGGCAGGCCTGGACTGAGACCTCTGACATTCTGAGCCAAAATAAACCTCTCCTCCTTCAAATCGTGTTGGGTACATATGCCCCAGGGACAAGAAAAGCGACCAATGCAGTTACGCGTTGGTTAACTCCGTTTTGTTCTCCACAAGATGTTCTTCAAGAAGCTAAAAGAATCACCCATAGACCTTGGTCATAGACACATGGGAAAGAATCCACTCGTTCTGTTGGTGAACACTTGGGTTCAAGTCCAGGCTTTGCTATTTTGTTCTCCAGTTTCCTACCCTGTAAAGCCTGGCTAAGACCCCTATCTCCATCAGAGAGCTGTTAGCAGTTAGCTGTTAGCACCTGGCTAAAAGTCAGCCTCACCGGTGATGGCAAACTCACCGCACTAACTCTAAAAGGTCTGCCATCACTGCCAGAAACTTGCTGGATAATTTAAACAAGTTCCTTAAACTCAGTCTTCCTCATTCGCTCAGTCTGCAGAGGGTAATTATCATGAGGAAGCCTCCCTGGCTTCTGCCAGGATAAAGCCCACAGCAGGTGGGAAGGGGTTGGATAAACACCTTGGATATAGCCATCAGGTGCAAACTCAGGTGTAGAGGAAACCGGACTGGGTGTCTTTCCAGCCGCCAACAATTAGTTTTACTTTAGATGCAGGAAGAATGCGCTTTTTTGGATGTTTCTGGCTGGCCGGACGATTTCTGGCCTGTCTTTTCAGGAAGCCAGGCAGCAGTCTCGGAGAGAATTTCCAGAATGACAAACTGAAGTCTGGTCCGGTGCCCTGATCCCACAGTCCCAGTCGGCTACCGCACGCCACCTGGTGTCACGTCTCCGCTACTGCCCAGAAACCACGTGTAAGAAAATGCTTACAACCTAACTACGCACTTTGGCGTCGACCCGTGCTAACCAATAGGGAAGGAGGAGGAGGGGTAGAGGCAAGCGAGAGCCCAATCCGCTCTGGCTTTCTGAGAGGAGGGCGGGGCTCGGAGTTGACCACGTTGGGTTTGTCCGCAGCGCTAATTACTTTTTCCAAAGGCTGCCGCGCTCCACTCCGGCTGGCGCCGCCGCCTCGCGCGCTCCTGCTCCGCCGCCGCGGTCTGGGGGCTGCTGGTCCCGAGTACCATGTGTGACGGCGCCCTGCTGCCTCCTCTGGTGCTGCCCTTGCTGCTGCTGCTGGTCTGGGGACTGGATCCGGGCACAGGTAGCGCCCCCTCCGCCCGGTGCGCACCGAGGCAGCCGGGTGGCCGGCCGCCGCGGGCCG